GTCCTGGGGAGTATTCTCACCCGGGAACATGAGGCTTCTGGGGGACACTCCGGAGCCTACCACTGTAGACTCTGGGTCCACGCCCCAGGGCTCTACCGGGCCTCCTCGTCCGGGAGCTCGTCTCCAGACTGCATGGCCTGGAAACGTGCGCGAGCTCGTTCTCCTTGGTCGAACTCATAGAGGAGCCTTCCGCAATTGAGGTGTCCCTGGGGGACCCAATCCGGCGCTTCGTACCCTTTCCATTTCACTTGATATTCCTTGACGCGCCGGCTGGTGCGTGTCCGGGTGACCCAACGCACATCCAGTATCGCTTCTACTTCGAATTCTCCGGAACCCTCGTCGGGTTCCCAACTGTCTTCACGGAGCAGTGCGGCGTCGAAGTCATCGTCCTCCGGGATATCCATTGGCTCCGAGGGCCGATCTGGGTATTTTGCCCGGGGCTTCAACCGGCTGACATCGACCCAGGGGTAAAACCGGTATTCAGTTCCCTCAACATGGAGACGATACCGATAGTCGCTACCTTTTCCCAGGATTCGGAACGGGCCGTGCCAAAGATGAGCCAGCTTCTTGGTGAGTCCGGGACGGACCCGGGCTAGGTAAAGCCAGACAGAGTCCCCGACCTCGAAACCTTCCTTGAGCCGGTCCGTGAGCTGTTTCCATTTCCGGTTGTGATCCGGCTCTTGGCCTTTGCTTGGAGATCCCGGGCCCAGGCTCGCGCGTATTCTACTTGGCGTTGGATCTTCGTGCGCCACTCCTGGGCATCTCGGAGTTGGACGTCCCGGGGAAAGTCTCCCATCATAGCTTCGACGGTACCCTGGGCGTCCCAACCGTGCACCAAGTAAAACGGTGTGTCGAGTCGGGTGAAGTCGAAAGAGGTGTTCACCGCCCACATGAGCCTTTCGGCTAACTCGTCCCAGTCACTCTGGTCTAGCGTCTGGACGTACGCCTTGACACTTCGGATCACTGTCTGCACCGACCTCTCCTGCTGCCCTTTAGCCTTGG